CTGTACATCCCGCAGTTGCCTTTCAAGGTCTGCGTTCTTTCTCATCAATTCTTCACTGTATTTGGACGAGCTGGGCTCGATATTCAACTTCCCACTTCCCCTCGGCTTGGTCGGCACTACTATATTGCTTAGAGCGGGGGAGTTTCTAGTTGCAACAACCGCAGCTGGTTGTGCATCCTTGTTCAGCAAAGGAATCAGGGGGTCATCAGGGATTAAGTGGGCAAGGATTCTTCCCATTGCCATTTCGAGAACTCTGGTTCTCTCTTCGAGCTCGGTTGTCCGAGCAGGTTCTGTCGACCTTTCAGGTCGTTCACGCTGTGGATTGTTCGGTCTGGTAGATCTTTGCCTCGTTCCTGTTGGAGCTTGGAACTGTTCAGGCTGGGTTGCATACCCAGTTGGTGTTCTTTCATCATCCGTCTCACTTAGGTGATCCTGTTCGGCTCCTCCTACAAAAAGATTTCTTGGCATCGGCCTAAAGTCATTCAAGCCGGCCTCAGATACGTGATCGTCTTCCTGTTCATCTATTTCATTTCTTGGGGGGCGTTCTCCTGTAAAGGTACGGACCATTTTGTCTTTCTGCCGGTTAAATCACACAGCTTTTTGTTCGAGTTCCCACAGACGGCGCCAATGTTTCGGCAGCTTCGCAATCCAACACTGTTGAAGTCCTTAGCTGCTTCTACACCTGAAAATCCCGAGGATGTTTCCTCGGGGAAAACACTCCAACGCTCAAGTCAGCAATACTCAATATTCTAGAGAGAGATGCTCTCAAAGAATAATTGCAGAGAGAGAAGCGTAGAGATTAATTACCTTCTTCGGAGGTGGTTGGGGGGTATTTATAGCCCCAAGTGCTGACATGTATCTGCACATGTAAGCCTCTCATTGGCCCACGTGGTGCTGCCGGGTATGTCTCCTCCTCTTGGGCCTATGGGTGCATAGTTGGGCCTGCTGCATGTGACCCTAAGAGGGCGTTGGGCCTAATCCCAACAATTTCTTTCCATGGGTGAAGCCGTGAAGGTTTCCAGAAACACCGGGTATATGGACAAAAGAGCAGGTTCAGGCATGGAAACCTATCGTTGATGCTGTTCATGCCAAAGGTGGGATCTTCTTCTGCCAGATTTGGCATGTGGGGAGGGTCTCAAATACAAGTGAGTGCTTTTCCCAGACATTATATATCCATTAATTTGTCTCTGAACTATAATTTCAATGATTCGCAGTGGTGAGACTACTGCTTATTTTTAGATTTTACATGATTGGAATTAGTCAACGGTGGTGAGATCTGCGTTTTTTTTTTTAATTAATGTTGATCCTTACTTGATAATGTAGTGATAAATCAAGCTTAGTTTTCAGAAGAAAGCCCTAGTAAAAGTTGAATAGATAGTATTTTGCCATACAAAATTTCTTGCTGTTAATTGTTTTCTAGATGAATGCAAGACAAGAGGTATAGATGGTCTCTATGCGCTGTTCAAAAATAAAAAAGATGGCCTATATGTAATGCTTTTATTTAAGGGCAAATTGCACTTAACTTTAACAGGTTGTTGCAGTTAACCCTCAAATTAGAAAAGAGTTTTATTTACTCCATGTGGTTTAAGAAATGTGCAATTAACCCTCCAAGCAATTAAATATTGAGTGTGAAATGCCAATTTTTTGTTGCATATGGGTGTAAAAGTACTTTTGTGGTTTGGAAGTTAAGTGCACCTACCAAGGCCACATTGGTGTTAAGAGCACCTACCAAGCTCACATTGGGGTTAAGTGCAAATTACACCTTATTTAATTCAGAAATATAGGATTTTAATGCAGCCGGCCACCAGTCAGTCATCAATTGTGGTTTCTGTGACACCAAATTGGAGATGTATCTTTCCTTGCTTCATACAGTTACAAGTGAGAATGAACTTACATGGAATGAAAAAGGAAAGAAGTGCCTTTAAAGGTCTCATTCTATAGCTATAAATAAATTTTAGTATGCGAGTGTGGAAGGCACCAGTAAAATGAAGGGCCTGAAGGGGTTGAGGTAACTGATACATTCTACTGATCTTCCAGTGAAATTAATTTAACAAGGAATATTATCGGTTTAGCAAAAAAGAAATAACATTCAACAAGAAACAAGCTATGCAAGAGCAAAGATGTGTTAACAACTATATGAAGGATCTAGCAGGCATGTTCCAGATCTTGATCAATTGAGAAGTAGCTTTATCTAGTATATATAATGAGGTAATGAATCAAAAAGAAATATTTTTGTTTACAAGAAATAAGCTATGGAATTTGCCTTAGGATGACTTAGCAACTATGAGTCTTGATCAATTGGGAAGTGGCTTATCTAATATGACTCTATGAGGAGGCAATGATTTATCTTGTGTTTTGTATTATTTCTATTCCAACTGACAGGTCCCTTTTATAGTTTCTTGTCAAATTCAATTAATGAGCATATACAGTGTCATTAGAAACAAGGGTTGTCCTTAATTTAATCTTTGATGATCAGTTAGCTCAGCCTTGCTACTATATTCAGGTCTTCAACCCAATGGTCAAGCTCCAATCTCTTCCACAGACAAGGCATTAAAACCACTGGGTAGAGCTGATGGTGAAGTTATTCAAGGAATATTCTCACCTCCACGGCGTTTAAGGACTGATGAAATTCCCAAAATTATCGATGATTTTAGGCTTGCTGCGAGGAATGCCATTGAAGCTGGTAAGTTCCTGTCTTTCATCCCTAATCATCCCTGTTTTTCTCTCTTTGGAACATAAGTATATACTTACCTTTTTTCTGTCTTGTAGGTTTTGATGGAGTTGAGATTCATGCAGCTCATGGCTAACTAATTGACCAGTTTTTGAAAGATCAGGTAAATGATCGAACAGACCAATACGGTGGATCTCTAGAGAACCGCTGCAGATTTGCCTTGGAAATAGTTGAAGCT